CTCTTTCAAAACCTCCATATCTTTGCTCTTCTTGTGCGACTGATGTGTGATACCTGGTTCCCCATTTCGCCTTTCCGAAGAAAGTTCTTCATTTTGGACCACGATCCCCTGCTTATTTGAATTATTATTATCACAACTACCTTGACCTGTCACTTTAGTGTCTCCATTAACATCAGCAAGGGCACTATATCTGTTATGCTGGGACACAGCAAAAGCTTTGTGTTTATGGTTCACAGCTCTCACCCTGCCAGATCCCACGGTTGTCCATACTGCTCTTCTCCTGCGGGATCTTTGTGGTAGAGGGGGCTGATAGCGCAGCATCTCAATAGAATTAAATGGCTGAATTGGGCACACACTCTCAGACTCCCCCCTCACAGCCAATAGCTCCTCCCACCAACCTCAGGGAAGTTCAAATGAAATGGAGGCAATTTTACTCTACCTTTGTCCTCTGTACTCTCTCTGACTCCCCCCTCACAGCCAGCAGGTCCTCCCACCAGCCTCAGGGAAGTTCAAATGAAATGGAGGCAATTTTACTCTACCTTTGTCCTCTGTACTCTCTCTCAGACTCCCCCCTCACAGCCACAATTCTCTTGTGCTTTGAAATTAACTTGTCCTTGTAGAACAAACATCTTTTATAAACTCTGTTTTGGAGAAAAGCTTTCCTGAAATCATGTAATAATTCCTGTTCCACTTGAATGAAACAATCCTGCATTTTAAAATAACATGCTAAATTGTGCCAAATACAGATGGAATCACATGCTTAAATGCTACCCAATTTTCCTTAATATATAAAACCCCCTCCAAACACACAGAATGTTAGGATAACGGAGAAAGTTACTCTAGACCCCTTCTCTATTGCTTGACTTTTTCTGTCTAGATATTTACATTTTTTTAAAAATCTAAGGAAGCATTGAAACTAAAGTACCATGTTCCAGAAACATGATCATCATTCAGGTTTGTTGATTGAATACCTCAGATCTTGCATCCAAAATTTGTGGCAGATTTTGAAGTCCTGACATTTTAAAAAAAGGAAACACTTATTTGGTCCCTTCTACTTTTCTAACTGGAGGTAGAACATGAACACAATTACACCTCAGGTTTTGTGAGGTTGTCAAATGATTTGTGAGGTTATGATAATGTAGTTTTGATGTATTTCCGTCTGCCTTCACAGTATTGGGGTGACATTTGAGAGGAATACAATGTGTTTTGGGGGGCTGCCCTTCCTTCTGGTACACCGTCCTAATTTAGGCTAGCAAAGGCATGTTTATTCAGACAATAAGAGTTATGAAGTTAGTTTTCATTTGGTGAAGTTTTTTATTTCTTACTTATGCATGGAGGAAGATTAATAAGTTGCAGAGGTTTACCTTTTATTATATTATTAGTATTTTATTTTACCCACTGATACATTTGGTAGGTGAAGTGACAAGATTAATTTTAATAAGTATATGAGTTAAAATAATTAAGATTCCCCCAACGTAAAGAGATAAGAATTTTTGTCCAACAAGTCAAGACAGATTCAAATTGCCACCATTCCATTACCTAATAGCCACTTCCTGCTTGTACTAATATACTAGCAGCCCATTCCTCTAACTTCTCTGAACACTTTGAGGGTTTCTAACTCAGATTTCCATATTAGTATTCAGAAAAAATATCTGCTGAATGAAAAATTTATTTTCTCAGATCAGAAGATGAGAAATCAATCCCCAATTATTGCAATTGTTTAACAAGTCTGTGACAGTCAACATGTACACATCATCTCATCCTTACCTGCATGGACTGTCCCTGGAGGTGAAGCCTCTCTTTGCACACACCCTCATAAAAATCATAATATTCCATGAAGGACTTCTCCATAACTCCACTAGCAGAAAAGAAACAAAGTGTGAGACCACCCAGCAATAATGTCAAGTTTTTTCCTATCAAGGAGCGAATGCCAGGTTTTAAACCTGTATTTTTTAAAATCCACAGAAATAAGTTCAAAAAGTACACCCTCATTATACATCATATTCCAAAATCCCTTAGTACAAAGGCAGACTAGATTTTCACTTATGTGTCAGGCCTGCATTTATATTCCTTTTAGAATTTTGGCCTGCCACACTTTCTCTTATTTCATTATGCTGTTTCTTTAAATGTAGTCGATGGGAGGGGGGAATAGAAGGAGTAGGATTTTGGAATGTATTGTTTTTCATTCTTTACTAGATGCAAGGTCATCCTTTGTCTCCACACCAGTACACCTGACCGGAAGAAGCTGGGCATGGACGCCAGCGTGGAAGAAGAAGATTGGACCATGTGATGGATTGTGGGTGTGGGGACAAGATCATGAACTTTTAACTGGGTGGGATTCTGATGTAACTTCCAGAGTTGGAATCCCACAGAACGATGCCAACATGCCTGTCTTATTAAATTGGAATTTTAAGGATAGTTTTGCCTTGGTCTCTGATTTAATTCTGCATGATATTTGGAACGCTGACATTATGTTTCTTACATAAAACTAAATATCCATATAGACCACACTATTTTCTTCTCTAAGAGTAAAAATAAGAATTTTTGTCCCCATATGAAAATAATTTCAAACAATATCTCCTTAGCATCTATTTGTAGCTGTGCTTGTACAAATTAAAAAGGCAAAATTCTGAAAATCTTTATCACTCAAAGCAAGTGTGCTGCTACATGCTACCCTATTAGTTTGACTTGAGTTGAAGAAACAAAAAACCCCATGGTGTTAGGTCCTTGTATGTTGCTTCTTCAATATACAAAAATCTAAAGTGTTTGTTTGGGAAACAAGAAGTCAGGAGCTGATTTAGACATGTCAAGAGCTAGGTTTGAAGAACTATATGAGTAATAAAATAGGAATGAATACATCTCAGAACTCAAAATAACAAAGTTGGAAGGGACCTTGGAGGTCTTCTAGTCCAATCCCCTGCTCAAGCAGGAGACCCTATACCATTTCAGACAAATGGCTGTCCAATCTCTTCTTAAAAATCTCTAGTGATGGAGTACCCACAACCTCTGGAGGCAAGCCATTCCACTGGTTAATTGTTCTCAGTTAGGAAATTTCTCCTTAGTTCTAGGCTGCTTCTCTCCTTGGTTTCCATCCATTGCTTATTGTCTAGCCTTTAGATGCTTTGGATGCTTTGCTCTTCCTTGTGGCAGCCCCCCAAATATTGGAACACTGTTATCATGTCACCCCTACTCCTTCTTTTCACTAGACTAAAGATACCCAATTCCTGCAACCGTTCTTAATATGTTTTAGCCTCCAAATCATCTTTGTTGCTTTTCTCTGCACTCTTTCTAGAGTCTCAACATCTTTATTATCTAACCGAAGTATTATAAAATGGTACTGACACTTTATGTGATCTTGATTCTATCCCTCTGTTAATGTAGCCTAGGAGAGCACACTGCTGGCTCATATTTAAGTGGTTGTCCACTAGGACTCCTAGATTCCTCTCGCAGTTATTGCTATTGAACAAGGTACCACCTATTCTGTACCTGTGCATTTTGTTTTTCTTGCCTAAATGTAAAAACTTACTTTTCTCACCACTGATTTTCATTTTGTTAGATAGGGCCCAGTGTTTCAGTCTGTCAAGATCCTTCTGGATCTTGAACCTATCTTCTGGGGCGTTGGCTATTCCCGCCCATTTGGTGTCGTCCGCAAATTTGATGAGTTCACCTCCTATCCCCTCATCTAAATCCATATGAAGATGTTGAAGAGTACTGGGTCTAGGGCAGAACCTTGGGGTAACCCACTGAACATTTCCGTCCATATAGGTGCAGTTCCATTGAGGATGTTGAGCGCAGTTGGTCAGCCAGTTACGAATCTGGTGGTTATGTGGTCTATCCCACATTTTTCTATCTTGCCAAGAACAAAGGTTGTGGTCTAACTTTGCTAAATGCCTTGCTGAAGTCCTATGTCCACAGCATTTCACTGGTCCACTAATTTAGTCATTTCATCAAAGAATGCAATAAAAATTCATTTGGCATTGACCCATGTTGGCTTCTGGTTATAACTTTGCTTGCTTCTAGCTGTTCACAGACCTGTTGCTGGATTATACTTTCCAGGATCTTCCCACATATTGATGTCAGGCTGATTGGTCTGTAGTTTCCTGGATCCATTCCCCACCACCACCACCTTTTTTTTTTAAACCTGGGAATGTCAGCTCTTTTCCCAGTCCTCTGGTAGTTCCCTGGTGCACCAGGATCTTTGAAATACAGTATATAGTTTAGGGGTTCCAAGATTATGTCTGTCAGCTCCTTCAGAACTCTGGAATGTAATCCATATGGTCCTGGTTATTTTAACTCATCTAGGGTGGACAGGTGTTGTCTTACCATTTTCTTGCTTATTTTAACTTGTATTCCCAGTCTGCCTTTTGTGTTTCTGCTTTTGGTAGGTTGGGCTGTTTTTTCGTTTTGTGGGGAAATAGATGCAAAGATTGAATTCAGCAGCTCTGCTTTCTCCCTACCGACAGTCACTTCCTTGCCATCTTCTCCCATTAGTAGACCAATAGTTTCCTTGACTTTTTTCTTGTTTCTTACATATTGAAAAAATATTACTTTTGACATTTGTTGCAAGTCTTTGTTCATTCTGAGCCTTAGCTTTCCTGACTTCATCTTTGCAAATGTGGGCTATATGCTGGTATTCTGCCATAGTTATATGTCCCTCTTTCCATTTTTTTATACTTGTCATTTTTGTCTCTCAGTTTGTCAGATAATTCCTTATGCAACCATGCTGGCTTCTTCTTGGATCTCTTTTCTTTTTCAATGCTATTGTGCTGGACTGGACTTTTATAATCACATTTTTCAGTTTCCCAAGCTTCTTGAGTTGTTTTCCCCTTTAAGATTTTTATCCATGGAATCCTTCCCAAGCTTGAAGTTTGTTGAAATCAGCTCTTTTAAAGTCTAAGACACTTGTTTGGTTTTGTTCTATTTCTTGTGTTGAATTCCAATATGACATGGTCACCCTCCCACAAAGTTCCTGCAACTTCAACCCCCTCTGTCAACCTTGGTTACATGGAGTGCCTGAGCGCATAATTTCGGATAGGGGGGGTCCAATTCAACTCTCTCTTTTGGAAGGAGTTTCTGAAGTTGATTGGCTCCGCCCACCATCCTCAGAGTAATGGGGCTTGTGAACAGACTAATTCTGTTTTGGAACAGTACTTCCGGTGTTTCATCAATTATCAACAAGACAATTGGGCTGAACTGTTACATGCTGAGGCGGCGTACAATAACTCTGTGCACAGCAGTACGGCTTGACCCCTTTTAGAGTTGTGTTTGGCCAGGACTTTTACCGATTCCTGAGTTACCTCAAGAGAAACTACAAATTTTGTCCCTGAGTGATCAACTTTGCCAATTTTGGCCCATGACCTGCAAGGCGTTGGAGGCTGCTCACCAGGCGCACAAGAAACAGGCTGATAAAAAGAGGGTGAAGGCAAAAGAATACAAAGTGGGGGATCGAGTGTTTTTGTCCACCAAGTTTCTGCACACCACCCAAAAATCGAAAAAAACTGGGACCGAAGTATGTCAGTCCATTCCCTATTGTGAAAATCATAAATCCTGTTTCTGTACGATTGGAGTTGCCAAAGAACCTTAGTTGGATTTATGCTGTGTTTCATGTGAACCTGTTGAAACCAGAGCACACTTGATTGATTGATTGATTGATTACATTTATACGCCGCCCTTTTCCCCAAAGGGGACTCAGGGCGGCTCACAGTTCAATCAGGGAAGGAGGTACAGACAGGGGGATAAAAAAGACGAGACATAACAATACAAAATTTAAAAACACACAACAACCATACCATTCGAGAAGGGGGGGGCAAAAACTCTTTAGCCCCAGGCCTGTCGGAACAGCCAGGTTTTAAGGGCTTTGCGGAAGGCCTGGAGGGTGGTGAGGGTTCGAATCTCCACGGGATGGATTCTGCATAGGGTTGGAGTTGTTTGGCGAGGAATTTGGCAAGATTCTGTAGAGGTGAGCCGATGGAGTTGACCATGGGTCTGTTTTA